GTGTTCAGAATGGTTTGATCCCTATCCAGCTGAATTCCTGAGAGGAGACGAAATCCAGGTCTCCTACTCCTCCGCCATCTTGCTCCGCCCCCCTCTCCCCCAGACTCTCTTGAATGCAGATGTTTTGGGTGGTTTTAGAGGAGAGATGGAAGACATTCAGAGGAGCTCAGACATCAATCCCCTCTCTCTTGATACCTTAAACCAGAATTTTGGGGAGTAATTCAGTCCTAGATCAGCCAACTGCTTTTTACCTTAAGCTCAGGTTACCTTCATAAAGAAACGGAAACCTGCCCTGTGATCACACCTGTCTTGCCTAATTTCCTTCCCTTCTTTCCTCACCTCTGCCACCTCATCTGAGGAGGTGAGGGGAATGAAAATCATATCACCAAGGAATAGCAGGAAACTGGAGGCGTTTTGCCCAGGAAAGAGAAAACTCAGGGAAGTCACTGGGATTCTCCTTAATGAGGTGTAGAGGAAAACGCATAGGTTTTATAATTAGACAGAAATTCAGCTAAAATCCTGGCCCTGCTACTTACCAGTTGTATGACCTTGCCAAGTTATTTTAACTTCTACGAGATTGTTTTCTCATCTATAAAATGGAGATAGTATATTTTACTTCTCAAAGAGTTGTGACATGTTAATGAGGTATAGTAAGTAGAAAATTCCTAGCATAATACCTAGTCCATAATATAAGCCAAAACATAGTGCCTGTAATTGTCATTGTGGTTGTTTATATTGGCATATACAAATGGAACAAGGAATAGCTCTGTATGACTCAAGGAATAGAAATAGGACAATGAGTAGAAATTACCATATTTTTGGTAATTAGAATGAACCTACGATAGATTCATTTACTTTGTGAAGGGGTCAGTTGCTTGCCATCAGAGGTATACAAGCCAAGCCTGAAAGCAGTCTGTTGGTAATGTTAAGGGAAGATGTGCTATTTGGGTAGGAAGTTAGACAAGAATGCCCTGAAGGGCTTTTCTGACTCTTCTGTTTGGGGATCCCTTTAGTCTTTGAAGTGAAAGAAATCCACAAGTATGTCGATTCCTCCAGCACACACTGTAACACTCCCATAAATTTCTATTTCAAACGTTTTGGGGGAAGAGTAGTGAGTCCTGATCTGTTCTTCTCCACGAATGCTTGCTCAGCCCCCATTTTCCTTCAGAATGCTGGGACAGGCCTGGCTGCTAAACCGTCTCTCCCATGTCCTCGTGCAGTGCCATCCTGTCCTCATACTTCCTGGGAGAGAATCTGAATCTGCTGGGGAAGCTGGGCTGTGTGATCTGTGTGGCCGGCAGCACAGTGATGGTGATACACGCCCCCGAGGAAGAGAAGGTCTCCACCGTCGTTGAGATGGCTGCCAAAATGAAAGACACAGGTAGGCTCCCCCCACCCCGTGAGCAGGAAGACACTGGGGAATGAACCCCAGGAAGGTCTAACTGGGGGCTGACCATGCCAGGTGCTGCCACCTGGAGGTGAAGGAAGCTAAAGAAGGAAAGTTGGGGGGCTGGTCCTAGGGTTAGCTCACGGGCTTCCCAGGCTGATGCGTGTTGATGTTATTTATCATGTGTTTATTATGTGCCAGGCACAGTTCTAAATATGTTCTATGCATTATCCTGGTCTGTTCAGGCTGCTATAACAGAATACCACAGACTGGGTGGCTTATAAACTGCAGAAATGTATTTCTTACAGTTCTGGAGGCTGGGAAGTCCAAGATCAAGGCCCTGGTAGATTTGGTTCATAAACGGCCAACTTCTCTCTGTGTCCTCACCTCACATGGTGGAAGGGGTGAGGGAGCTCTCTGGGGTCTCTTCTACAGGAACACTAATCCCATTCATGAGGGTGCCACCCTCGTGACCTAATCACCTTCCAAAGGCCTCATGTCCAAATACCATCACATGGGGATTAACGGGGGTTGGGGGGACGACACAGTCTTGTAGCATGCATTATCTCATTTAATCCCGCAAAAAAAAAGATCTATGAGGAAGGTCCTATTATTAGGCCTGTTTTACAAATAAGGAAATGGAGGTCTTGTGGTTAATTAATAACCTGCCCCAATTATTAAAAAGTTGTGACGTGAGCCTGGAACCCATGTCTGCCTGACTTTAGAGCCCAAGTCCTTACTGCTATATCCCATGACCATGGTTAGAGGGCTCTAAAAACTAACTGCATCCTCTGCAGCTCAGATTATCCATCTCCCACCCCTTCTGAAGGGTACATCGTGTTTGCTGTGCTTCTGCTGGTGTTCTGCCTCATCCTCATCTTCGTCATCGCGCCACGCTACGGACAAAGGAATATCCTCGTTTACATCGTCATCTGCTCGCTGATCGGGGCCTTCTCCGTGTCCGCCGTCAAGGGCCTGGGCATCACCATTAAGAACTTCTTCCAGGGAATGCCAGTTGTGCGGCATCCCCTCCCCTACATCCTGTCCCTCATCCTGGCACTTTCTCTCAGCACTCAGGTCAACTTCCTGAACAGGGCACTAGACATTTTTAATACCTCCCTGGTGTTCCCCATCTATTACGTGCTCTTCACCACGGTGGTGGTTACCTCCTCCACTATCCTCTTCAAGGAATGGTACAGCATGTCTGCAGTGGACATTGTGGGCACCCTCTCTGGCTTTGTCACCATCATTCTGGGTGTGTTCATGCTTCATGCTTTCAAAGACCTGGACATCAGCCACACCAGCTTGCCCCACATGCACAAAAACCCAACCCCCTCTCCCACCCCTGAGCCCACTGTCATTAGACTAGAAGACAAGAATGTCCTTGTGGATAGCATAGAACTCTCCAGCACCCCATCACCAGAAGAGAAGCCCAAAGTATTTATAATCCACTCTTAAAGCTTGGAATCCATGAGTGAGAAGATGAGCTCTACGGTACAGCCTGACCTCTCCATTTCAGAGGCACCTGGTTATCTTCACCAGCCCTGTTACCAATGGGCTCTCTTTTCTTGAGATGTTCATCTATACCTCATCACTGTTTCTAGAAGGAAAGTCCCTACCCAGTGAGTGGTGGTGGCAGAACTTCGTGGAAACAGCCTCAGTGACCGAATACATTGGTGCCAGCAGGTCCCCTGGACCTCCCTTCCCACTTGTTTCCTCAGTGCCATTGCTGTGTTGGTGAGAAGAAGAGAGAATTTGACCCGCTGAATGTAGCACAGGCCAAGACCTTCCCTGCGATGCTGGTTGTCGGGAAATCCTTAGCACTGGTTCTCCTGAGACTGAATCCCATTCCTCGGCCCAAGGATGAAGTGCAGCAGGTTCCTAAAGGCCCAGACAGCAATTCATCATGCCCCGCCTCCCCCCCGCCCCCATCCAGAGCTGACAACTAATGTGACACGTCCTGCTGCTTTTGCCACTTGGTCTTTGGAGACAAAAGCATGACCTCAGCTGACCTTCTTACTGTGAAAACCATCTGATGTCTCAAGGAACATTTCCACCAACCCCATTCCCCGAGCACTCCAGCCTGGAGGTCAGCATCTTATTTTCCGTCCACTCTGCCCCAATCCCTGCCCCTTCCATCTCTCTTTCTGGCCAAAGGAGTTGTCACTGAGACATTCGGGCAATTACCTTAGAACTCAAAACAAAATGACAAGAACAACAACAAAAGATCCTCCACAGCCAAGCTCTGCTGGTGCAAGCCAGTGTTTCATTTTGCCTCGCTCTGGAAAGAGAACAGCATTTGCACTGCTCTTAAAAGTAGTCTGGCTGTCAAGATAAAATTTGGCAGAACGCACTTTCCTTTTCCTCAAGGAGTCAACCAAAATATGATTTGGGGAGATGGGGAGAAGGAGGAACAATGTTGGGATTTGGCAGAAAGCAGCCATAGGCCCTCTAGAAACCTGGCGCTAACTTTTGTGTTTACTCTGGTGCCCAACCAAGAACCCAGGTGGAAGGGGCTCCGGGTAATTTCTGGGATGTAGCCTTAGAGGCCTGAGCAGTGGGATCAGCTTTGAACTTTAGTGACCAATGGGGCGCAGGCTTGGCATGGGGTGCATTCTGGCTGTTGATCAGATCGCCCCCAAGCACGCAATCCCACTGATGAGCTCCCCGCCCCGGGAAGCAGCAGGTCATGACTGTTCCACCACCATCTGCTCTGGGGACTGCCTTTAGTCCCCTCACATTTGACCAGAAGCTTTCAAAACACAAGAGCAGCTAGAGAGAGAGAATTTCCTTCTTGTCTTCTTTCTAGTTCCAGGAGTATGGGAGTTGGTTGAAGGACCACTGAAAGGGAAGTAAGAGAGCCAGTATCTCTGTAAAGAGGGAAGGCTTGGTCCTCAGCCCCCAGGTGGGCACAGAGCCTCCCCTGTGTAACCCTATACCTGTGTCCTGTGTTGATGTCCCATGCCCTAAGCACAGCCAAACCCGGGCAGGACTCTTGCTGGCCTTGAAGCTCCAAAGGCTTGGCTGACCCACAGACTGGCTTCCTGCACCTCCAGCCTCAAAACCCCGGTTTTTAATGAATGTGGATTTCTGTCTGTAACTAAAATCAATGCAACATGTTGGATCTTGAGAATGGCAGTCATCTAAGGGCCCTGAGAGTGTGGTCTACAGGGTCAAGAATAAAGACCTCTGAGTATGTTTACTTGATATTTGTGTCTTGGCCTTCTTTGAACACGGAACAATTAAACTGGTTTGTCTGGTGCTGAGGGGCTGGTGCTCAATCTCTGGAGGGTTGTGGCTGCCAAGTAAGTCCCTCCGGTAGCTTTCGTAGCCGCACACCCTCACTGCAGTGGGAAAGGCCGTTTTGGGAATAGTCCGTTGAAGATATTCATCCCTTGTTAATGCCTGAGCCCTTACTGGGAACCAGGCACAGTACTAAGAGCTTCATGTGAATTCTTTAAGTTCTCACAAATCCCCAAGGTAGATATATTTTTTTATCCCCATTTTATATATGAGGAAAGGGTCTCAGGGAGGTTAAGTAATCGCCCAAGGTCAAACAGCCAGAAGAATCTAAGCCTAGAGTCTTAACCACCAGGCAGTGTCTCTCTCCAAAGGTTGCCAAACGAAGGTTGGCATTACTTTGTTCTTTTCTTTTCTTGTCATCTGCGCTGTTTCCCCTGTCTGGACAGAAGCCCCATCGGAGTTGGTCTTAATTTGCTGCTTATTCTCAATGCCTAACACATAGTCGGTACTCATAAAAACATTTACTGAATGAAGAAACAATACTGTTCCAATAGTCCTTCTTTGCCCAGACTCTCTTGGGGGCCAGCTCTGGATTCAGAGCAGATCTTAATGAACCCCTGGCATGTCCAGCAGAGCAACTCTAAAACTGTCGCAGTCAGCAGTTTCTGAGCCCTTGGCCTGTGCCGGGCACAGGTGGGTGCTATCATGTGGAGCACTTCCCTGATGATCACAACACTTTTAAGGGAGGTGTTATTCCCGAGGTATAGTGAAAAGAGCCTCAGGGTTCTGGAACTCATCCACTCTCACGCATCTAGTAAGCAGCAGAGCTGGGACGTGGACCCAGGTGTGTCCATCCAGGCTTTATGCATTATGTTGCTGACCAATCTAGAACTAGTGGCTGGTTTAGATGATGGTGCTAAGCAGGGAGGGGTGTTGGGTAAGGGGCTGATTTCATGAGCAGGCATTGTAGTAAAGCATTTGTGTTTGATGCCTTTGAAATCCTTAGGCAATCTCAAAACCCTGAGAAGTTAGAAAAATAGAATCAGATACCAAAGACCTCCCAGGGCTTTTGTGAAGATTCAATGAGATCATTCACATAAAGAAAGTAGGCTACAAAGCCAGCATATGTTAAATACTCAGTAAATGTTACCTCCTCTCATGGTTATTATGATTCGCTCTTAGAGAACCTTAGAATTGAGGTGGGAGTCAAATGAGACAATAAGGGTGAGGTCCTTTTGCAACTCAGAGGCACCAATGGATGTGAGCTGTTATCACGCAGGGCTCTGGAGTCCGAAAGCCTACCCAACGCCAGCCTTGGCTTGGCACCTGCCCACCCAGCCCAACAGACCTTGCGCAAGTCTCTCCCTACTTTGAAGTGCATCTTACCTAGCAATAGGATGAGGAGGCGAACACAGGATCTCGGTTGTCTCCTAAACGCATTAGTGTAGCAGGAAAGAAACATAGCAGAGAATCCCAGGATCATTCCTGCCTTTAGTGACCCAAGACCTAACCAAACTAGACCAGCCTATGTCCAGGCACAAATACAAACAGCCCCCGTGACTGGTCATGGGAAAACCCAGGCTTCTCTGTGGTTTCAAGTCTTCCATTATGGCCTGACAGGTGGACTGACGGTCTTTGTGGGAACTCTTATGAGGAGTCCTCACGGGTGGCTCCTATCCAGGCTGAGCAGTGGGAGAATAAAGCAAACGAATAAAGAATTGCCAAACCAGACAACTTTCAAATGACAATTTATTTTAATTAAATACAAACAAGGAAAAAAGGCACCATGGCCCATTCAAGTATTTTGCATAGATGTACAATTATTGTAAACAATTAATAGGTGGACAAGAGAGAAGAGGAGCTGTTTTCCGTGAACGATCGCCAAATAAAAAGAAAATTCACATTGCCCTAGATCCCAGACACATACATACACACACAGTGGATGGTGTGAGAGGGTGCACAGAAGGGTGACTTTGGGGACACTGGCTTGGATTCTGCAGAACCCCTCTTAGCAAGCTTCCCTAGGGATGGGGCACCTTTCCAGTTGGCATTCCCTTGGGTGTCCAGCAGAGCTGTTAACATGCATATTTAACACAATCATGACTTTTGAACTGGTCCCCAATGTAAAATATGCAAGTCTTCCATACCCTTTGCCAAATAAGAATAAATTTGGACATAGGCAAGGGGAGGTTTTATTCAAAAGGATTATTGCAAGAGACAGCAAGGGGCTACTGCAGTATGGAGAAGGGGCTTCCCCAATCCTGTAAGATCTGCAAGCATCTCAGAGCTGAGGCAGAAAAGGGCCTTTATAGGGAGAAGTCAACAAGGCTAAAAAGAACGGATGGCAAGCAGGTAGTTACAACTTGGAGCCAGGCACCGGGGATAAAACTCCCACTGAGACAGGGAGACAGAAGTGTTAGCTCCCTTGAGGTTTACATTTCAGAGATGGCTACCCGGTTCTTAAGAAAAACATTTCCAGGGTTGTCAAACCGGCAGATTTATATCCAGCTCCATCTGAACAAAGGGCTGGTTAACTCCTCCAAGCTTTAGTTGGGCTCCTCTCCTCCATCCGACTCTGAACTTGGACCCACACTCAGCCTAAGCCAGCATAGAGCCCCCCCGCCCCCCACAGCAGCCCCCTCCCTGGGAGGCTGAGCGCAAGAACGCCCTAACTGTGGTTCTCTCTAGCCAAGGCCCCTCCGTCGATGCTTCTTTCTGAGCTTTGAGATGCTCGCGGACCTTGCAGGAGCTCACCTGAGCATCCTCCCTACTGCTAGAGCCCCTGCCCGGACTACAAATTCCCTTTCCCCACCTTGCAGTAATCCTTTCCAATAAAGTCCCTCTTAAGGCCATATTTGCTTTTATTTGTCACCTCAAAGCAGCACTTGGGCACAGGAGGGAAAAGGGAGCACTCAGGGGCCACTCCTGCTCCCGGGCAGGCTCCCCAGCCTGCCAGAATGGCGACTCCTGGTCCCTGAACACAGCCAGAAGTGAAAGCGTAAATAGAACGGGCTGCCAAAAGTCTCCATCAAATTTTAAAAATTCGACCTTCTTCCAGTTCACAGTACAATTTTATGGGATGGAGGTGGTATTAAAATAATAGAAGACAAAAACAGAAAAACAAGAAAATACAGCCCTGGGCTCTTTCCGGTATGTGTGCAGGGAGGGCAGATTTCAGGTTCGAAAGGCTCATGCAGCCCCAGTGGCTGTGGCATTTTCACTTCAGAGCCTTCGATCTCCTCATGTCTGGGAGAAACGCTGGACATACCACAGAACAGTCTGTGAGGCATGCAGGTGGGTATAAGAGTGATTTTTTTTTTTTTTTTGCCAGGGTGTTTTCACCTTTAGTTTTCTGGGACCCAACCTTGAGGCCTGGGGTAGTTTGGAGCAACACAACTACATGGAAGGCTGCCCCCTGACCTAATCAGGCAGCAAGGAAGGTGGAAACTGGCTATGGGGATCAACCAGGGCCCATGTCTGGGAGACAGAGGCATGAATATCAGACTACCTGAGGGAAAAGGGCCTCATTTTCCTGAGATCTTTCTAAATCCACCCCATGTGTGCCCCCAGGTGCAAATGCCAAATCTCCCACTTGTCTAAAACCCGAGAACATCTATTGAGCACCTGTTGTATGTAGAGAACTGCAAGGGGGCCCTGGGTTGGTGGTTGGGAGGGAAAGCTCAAGCTTCTTCCTTGCATTGAGGTTTTCAAGAGTGAACAACGGCTCACTGCAGGAGGTGGGGATAGCACAGCACCCTTCTGGGGGCGGGAGACCATCACCAGAGAACATGTCCAGTGACAAGTCGTCCACTTTAGCAGAGCACCACATAGCCTTCCTTCCCTGCTCCGGGCGGGGGGCGGGGGTAGTACCCATTGGAGTGGCATTTCCCCAGCTGCTCCAAGTTCTTCCTGTAAAGGTCAGATAAGGGCAGTGACCAGAAGAAAGAACACAAGGAAGTGGATGATAAAAAGCCTGGTGTTCCCAGCTCAGACTCTGTTCCGTCAAGACCGTTGACCGTTGCTTCTCTACAGATCTCTAGAGACAGGTCAGCTCTCCGCTCAGAGGGCAATGATCGTGCCTCAAATCAGTGACCAGACCTAAGGACACGCTGGGGTGCTGCCCCCTTTGCTGCCATCCCTGAGGACCTACCTTAGATTTCCATCAGGGAGTAGAGGGTAAGACCCTCGCCCTGCCAAGGTCATAAAACACAATGGCAAATAAAGCTTCGATGCTCTTGAAGCACTCTTGGGAACCACCTAGGAAATCCAGTGGCTGACCCTTGAAGCAGGATCCTCACTTGTAGGTCATAAGCACCAGGTTTCCAAGAGGCTGGAACTGCTGAAGACCCACTCACGCAGCACCACACATTAGGTAGGTCTGAGCGGGGAAGAAGAAATTTCTGAAGGAGAAATCAAAAGTGCTGAGCACTTGGAAAGAGAAGAAAATAAAAGGCAACCAAGAATGATTCCAAGTTGAGAGCCGCAACCTTTGGCATTGGCTCAGAGGAGGCCCAAGCCTGGTGCTCCCTCTGCTGTCTACACTGCCCACAAATAGTACCTGTCAGAGTCAGGGGGACCCGTGTGAATAAGCGGGGGAGTGCTTAGGGGAGGGGGGGAGGGGACTTCTCTTGGTCACGTGTGGTCACAGGCCCAGGAGTGGCAACCTCAACCAAGCCCTGGGCAGGACCCCAGTGGAGGCTGGTCTGACCCCTCTCAATCTCAGAGCTAAAAGGGATGAGTAAGCATCCAGCCTCTGTCTAGCTTGGGACCATCAAGGAAGACAGAAGCAATGGAAAGCTCTGATGCATACCCTCTACCATAGGACGTGGATGGATGGCTTCTCCAAGCTAAGTACTGGGCTGAAGGGCTGAACAGGACCTTTCCCAGCTGGGCTTATCAGCTCAGACAGCCCAGATCATCCCCACTGGCACCTCTGAGGTGACGG